CTGTTTGCCGATTGTCCCAACCTCCTGCAGAAGGCAGTATAACCCAACTGTTTCTGGATTCCTGTGTCCCCCAATGTACTCGAAGAAAAAGACTTTACAGTAAGAGGTCCATCATGATGTTCTGGTGAGTGGAATAATCCATTGGGGGTGGTCTTCTTACACTTCTAGATGGAACATTTTGCTTTTGGAGTAGAACATTACATTGAGGCACGGTTGGGTCAAGACAAAGTGGTGCTGAATAGTGGATGCTGATGGAGCGATCTATTGAGGGACTTTCATTGTTGATATATTGTGTTTTAATTATTTGTTACACTTTGTCTTGCAATAATAGGATATTATACTTTATCATTGGTATGAAATATGACACTGTTAAGTCACATAAATAATTTGCCATCAACACCTTCCCAGTCCCCTTAATCCATTTAACCACATCACTATACAAGTGAAATTTTAGCTGCTTTTTTATATTGCAATCCATCCCATATTTTATCCTCCATTGAAGATGCAGGTAAAAAGGCTTTTCCTTTGCATGAAATTCTTTTTTTAGCGTATTCTACTCACAAAGTCTTGCTGGATATCAGTAAAGTCTTTGCCATATTTCTCCAGTGCTTCTTCAAACAGATTGGCTTCTGAAGCAGACCATTCCTCCATTTCATCTCGGCAAAGAACAGGACCCCCTTGGGGTACTAATGCAGAAATGGCTTTGGAGATATCGTAACAATTTTTGTGCAGTGTGTCCATAGCATGGAACTACAGCAAATAAAACAAAGAAAGATTACTATTGAGTGTTTATTTTAGCAAACAATTATTTCTTTATACAGTAATAAATAAAATGTAATAAATTAAATAATAACCAAGGGTAATTTACAAAATCGACATTTGACTATGTTTTTTGACTATGGGGAATCCAACAACAAATACGTTCGACCGAAAATCTTACAATGTATGGCCACTTTTAAACCTTAACAATGCATTCAAGTGCCCTAACTATTTACAAAAATGTATCTTATTTGTAGATCCTCAAACCATCTCTGAATTGGTGCGGACACTGTCCTTCCTTCTGGAGGGTGGCTACTTTTGTTCCGCATGGTCCCTGTGTGTGTTGGAAAGTAGTCACCTCTCCATGCTCACTCCTGTGATAGACTACACTTGCCCACCTTGTATGTGTTGCTCCCTTGCTGGCTGCATGAGTAATGACTCTCAATACTAATCGGTGTTTCACTCCCTGGTGTATCCTTTATAGTGATCTTGGTACTTGCGAATTCTCACCAACGCAGGATTACAAGTGTGACATAAGCCTAACAGGTAATGGTGATCTGCCCGTAGCCATGCACATTTGATAATATTGGGCTATTTTTGTAATATTTAATGTGTACCCCAACATAAATAATTTGTTGAAAGCTTTTACTGCCCCTTACCAAGTAGGTATAATGCAGAAGTTTTTTCTGTATTTTTACTTACTAGTGTTTAAGAATCAGAACAATTACCAAACGTTTAAACTTAAAGTGACACTCTACTCAGGAGTTAAATCTTAAAAATACATTCAAGTACCTTAACTATTAACAAAAATGTATCTTATTTGTGTCACTCCATCACAGGAGTGAGCTTGGAGAGGTATCTACTTTACAACACACAGGGACCATGGGAAACAAAAGTAGCCACCCTCCAGAAGGACAGTATCAGTATGAATTCAGAGATGATTTGAGGATTTGTCATCACCCATGCAGTCAGCAAGGGAGCAACACATACAAGGTGGGTAAGTGTTCCCCCTGTATATTCCAAAACTTCTTGCCAGTGAAACTATCACAAGTTTGACATTAGCCTAAATGTGTATATTTATCAGCCTCTATTCTAACATTTGTTTTGTTCCTTACCTACTTGATATAATTTTCTACAAGTGTAAAGTGCAGCTACGGAGCATTATAAAGACAGCTACATATTGCTTAGTGACAATAGTAATCTTGCTTTTAGTTCTTACCAATGTGATGTCTCTAGAAGCAGCAGCTGCACTCATATGTAGACTAGGTTGTCGGACAGAGCTACTGCAGTCTAATGCACGTGCAAAGGTACCTACAGATCTGGGAAAGGAAAAGAAAAACGGATAGTAATTTATTGTATCCAGAATGCACAAAAAATGTATTGTAAAAATGTAAAAGGCATTAAACTTTTAGTAAGACATGTAAAGCCAGGTATAATGTGTATCTCTCTGACAGTCCAACGCCTTCCTTCTGCTATATAAGTGCTGTTCTTGAGACACGGCATGGCATATGGAACCATTTCGTTTAAAAAGAATGATGACGATCCCCCTTGTGCCATTGCAGTGACAGCAGTGACTAGTCAGTTGAGCTTCAGGGCCAAGAAAGAGAAAGCTCTCATCCCCCCGAGACCAAAGCTATTGGATAAAACAAATGTTTCCCATTCTTAACACAAATCAGTATAAGCTGACAATCTGTGATAGACTGAACAAAGTGACAGAGTGGCAGACATCACATACCAAGTAGAAGTAAGCTCTGACAGCAGCACAAAAAGCAAAACCAGACCCTTCTTAATATTTGAACATGTGAAGTAGGGATGCCCTGATCAGCGAGTTTGGATATTTTTTCCCCGGTACTCGCCGATACCGAATACAGATACCAGAAGTCCCATTAACGAAGCTGGGTGGGGTGTAATGACTCGCAGCCCAGCTTTCTGATTAGCCGGGAAGCAGTCTCCATGCTCTCTCATCACCAGGTGACGAGGATGCATGAAGCCGGGTTTCTAGCTAATCAGGAAGGGGCAGGTAATGACTCACCCCCCGGTTTCCTGATTGGCCAGTGCCCCCGTCACCAAGTGATGGCTTATGAATCCGCATTAGAATCCGCTGTAGAGGGAGTGCCTGGCAGGGAGCGGAGATCTGTGCTGGGACATGCTAGGGCTCGGAGCCGGAGGGGTGGCCAAGTCCCCCAAACAGCCATCCTTCGTGTCCTACCGGACTCTGGAGGTGAGTGAGCAGGGGGCGGCCTGGCCTAGTGCCAGCATCAACCTCTTTCCTGTGTCATAGTTACATAGTATTTGATGTTGAATAGTATTTGAGGTTGAATAAAGACAAAGGTCCATCAAGTTCAAGCTTTAGGACAGGAACACATACACACACAGTCACTAACAGTACCTGTACCCCTGTATGTTATGGTCTTGCTGTTATAGTGCCGCTGTGCCTGCAGACTTGCCAGCCTGCTCCATTCACAGTGTGTCAGTCTGCCCATGTCGTCACCAAGTGACAAGGGAGCATGGAGCCGGCTTTCCGGCCAATCAGTAAGCCAGGCGGCTTGTAATGACTCGCCACCCAGCTTTCTGATACTGTTCCGGTATCGGGACAAGTATCGTTAGCAGTTGGGCGAGTAAAAGTACTCGGCCAAATACTCTGTATTGGCACCGATATCTATACTAATATCAGTATTGGTGCATCTCTAATGTGAAGTATTACAGGATTTTCGAGTGGGGTAGGTACAGCTAAGAGTCTCCATAAATCCCACATTCTAACATCAGAACATGCTGCTTATGCAGACAAAACTTAGAGAAGTGACGACTGCATTCAACAAAGGGTAAATTATAGGATGAATTTCACAGCAGAGATCCATTGTGCATTGTTAATGCTACCTCCCTTCAGACTTCAGCATCAGATACTATAAAAGCTATTAAAATAAGTCACAGATCTTCATTACTGATTTATTGCTGGTTCTTAAAAGAGTACATTAGCTGCGAGCTGTTTTTACTGCTTAATTCGACAAAGTGAACAAGACTAGACTGCTTTACTTGTCCTTCCAAGAACAAATCACAAAGGCAAACATGGGGAGGAAAAACCCTATTCTAGTGAGTGCATGAAAACCTGTAACATGCAGGACATTTTATCATTTAATTATAAAGAGCAGAGTTGACCAAATCACTCTATGGGGGTGATTTACTAACCTAAACACACGCACGCACCAGGTGCGTGTGATTTTCACACAGCAAAACGTATTTATCAACCAAAAAGTCTCTAAAAGCATATTTCCACTAATGCCATATATGGAAAAATCATGCACATGATGCATATATAATGCTGCTTCACAGTTTAGACAAAAATGGTTAGCTCATGCATTTACATTCCTGCATTCATCAACGCAAGCAACACAACATAGAGCTAATTTACACAACATCACCTTGCAAATTCATGCTTGGCTTTGCACAACACACCTGCTGGGTGTGTACACACTACAAAGGTGTTTAGATTCCACCCATAGATCATGCTGGGAGGGAACACACTACAGAGGTGTATACATGTTCGTGGTGTGTTTATAAGGTTAGTAAATCAACCCCTATGAATCACAGTGAATTAGATACACTCACATGACTTCTAATTCTCCAGTTCTCTCAAGAATGCTTGTGCCAAACTTCTTGATCTGCAGAGCTGCAAGTAGGTGTTATGAATTGCAGATCAAGTGATTTGGAACACGCATATTAAAAAGGAGAATCACGGAATTGCTACTCACAAAATTGTTTCTGATCGACCCATTCCACAGTGAATCGCAGATTGGTTTGTTTGTAATAAAGAGGTTGCAAAAAATCCACAAGTATTAAAAACAAAAAAACCTTTAAAAAACACATCCTTATAAATATGTGAGGTCAAATAAAAGAAGCACAATGTTGCAACCTCAGCAATAACTGGCATAGTAAAAAGAAGTATTGGTGACAGGACTCCAAACAAGACTCCAAACAGATTGCTTGTAGTGTGGATTCAGATTACTGGGCATTATTCATTGGTGTTAAACTGGCGGGGCATTCCCCAGCTACAACAAGCTTTAAAACTGGCAGGGTTTTAAAGAAGAAGGAGTGGGGCACAGCATACAAGATCGGCACATGTATGAAATGTTGCTTGGTTCAGGCAATATTTCTGATGATTACAGTAGTGCTGCTCAGCTAAAGCATCACCGGGCTGATTCAGAGCTGTACAACAGAGACCAGGACTTGATTTGCTCCTTTACTAATGTCTCAGAGCAGTCCTGTAGGTTGAGGCTAGGTTCACACCTAGGTGATTCAGATGGCGAACGGTTGTCACGCGTTTACGATCACGCGACTGTTCATTGTAAACCGCGCGATTGTCGCACGTTTTTCCATGCATAGAGATGTCTATGGGACCCCAACTGCCTGAAAATATCTCCTGCACCTGTTCACACGACAGGGAATTTCGGTCACGCGACACACCGCAAAGGTGTGAGCAGCCTCCATTGACTTCAATGCGAAACTGTGTTTTGCGCGATATCGAGCGACTCGAACCGCGCGATAAATCGCCTAGGTGTGCAGCGGCCTTCATAAGTGCAGAATGCATGTTGCATAAGGAAAACATACATCTTAAATATAAAAGCTGAGCTGTAGAGATGTTTGGGGCAGAAGGTACATTTCATACGGTGAAACCAGTTCAGCCTATCATGTACTTATTTATTAAATGAAAAGTGGAATAGGTACTTGCAGCATTGTCTGTTTGACAGCCAAAACACTGTAAGACTAATGCCTTATGCCTAATGAAAGTCTGTGTGGCTCCTTGCCATTTGTAAATGTACACAGATCGAAAACATTTGGTGCATGAGACAAAGCAATACTGTTATAACTAAACAAGTAAATGGTGTAAATTAAAATAGAATTAGAATGTGCAAATTAAGCTAGACTGTAAAAGTGTCACATTTAGGAAAACAAATTACTGGTTTTGGGTAAATTGTTATTTTAAATTCAAACTAAACTCTCCTAATTAAATGCCTGGTAGGTGTAGGACGGGTTACAAACACTAAGACAAGCAGCCTACCTCCCACGGACCAGACGCAACCTCTGCTCAACCCCCAGCCTATACACATTCCGTCTGGCAGGAGAAATCCCTGTGTGAGGAGAGGAAATCGCCACCAGCAACTGAGAGGTCAACACCAAGTAGGTAGATCCACACACTAGCACATTGCTAGTTGACAAGGATTCTTCTGAGAAAAGGCGATTCGCCACTGACCATAGTCTGGGCACCACCCGCCTTTGTGAGGTGCTATGACAGGGAAGCAGAGATCCCCAGTCATGTGCACCCCACTGAGAATCACTCTCACAGGCCACCCCAGGAAACAGAGTAGTCGCATCTGACCCTGCCGTTGCGAGAGTCTGCGTGCGTTCAATGGCTGGGCTGGGAAGGACTGCAAGGATCTAGACCAGTGGTAGGCGACCTCAGCACTCCAGCTGTGGTGAAACTACATATCCTATCAGGCTTGTGCATCTGGGAGTCATGCCTTTGGCTGTCAGAATCTTGCAATGCCTCATGGAACTTGTAGGTCCACAGCAGCTGGGGTGTCAAGGTTGCCTACCTCTGATCTAGACTCATCCAGGGTGTCACCCAGCTGGCACATGCTGGAAAATCTACTTCAAAAAAAGGGAAGACGAATCACAGCAAAGATTCATAGGTTCTTACTCCTGAGGCAATAAACTGGAGCTTGGTCAGCAGGTGGGGGGTTGACCATCTGAAGAGGCCATCCCTACGCTGTTTTTTTTTTATTTGTCCCTAGCATCCTTCTCCTGCAGGTGGCGCTATATATAGATATATCTACGATCTTCTTCATTGTGACCTTCAATGAACAGAAGAGAAATTCCAATTACCCATTTAAAACCAAGCTACTCTATTAAAACTTAAGAAATAAAAATATATGTACGCCAATCTGCTACCAAATTAAATACTTCTCTGCTTTGAGAAAAAAAAAAAATGTATAATACATTAGGGTAAAGTTTGGAGAAGTGAACAATCTAGGACAACATTGCTGAACTGGAAAGTGAGCTGAATTGGAGAATTTTTCCAAATCAGCTATGTTGTCCTAGATTGTTCCCTTCTCCTGCCTACTTTTCACCCTTTTTGTGACTAACCCTGTCAATGTTTCAAGGTGCCAAACCAAGATGTTTGTTAAAAACAAAACAAACCTAAAACATTATTTTGGGTCATAACAGTGGAAACAGAATCAAGGCTCTGGTAGTTTTAAGTGGTAGTGCATGTGATTATATACATAATCTATATGATAAAATGTAATTAAAAATGGTTACCATAATAGCATACATTTAGTGTGACTGAGTCTGAACTAAAATGTCAGGCATGGTGGTAGTTTGGAGATATCGATCACCAGAAATGCGGACTGCAGCAGTTGTGAGCTCTGGGAAAGCCCAGTCAGTCTCACTATAAGAGGCCGATTGTAAAATTCCTCTGTTGGTCCTGGAGTTCAGACTGCTGTTGAGATTGGGTGGGTCCACAGCCTGATCGCCCTGGTCCATAAGCCCACCTGCCAGAATACCTGACTTGGATAAAAAAGACCTGGGAAGGATCACAGAAAGAGGCTGTGCTAAGGACTTTTAATAAAAAGTTCTGCGGATGGTGAACCAAGATTGCTTTGCCTTGTGAAGGCACTTAAAGGTCTCACCTAAGGGCTGGTACAGACCTGGGACAGCGCGATAGTGTGCAGTTGCACACGGCGCTTGCCACGCGATTGATTTTGTGACCGCATGGCCATCCGCATGGTTTTATGCACAATTGCCGTGCGGTCACGGATTGCCATAGTGTGAACCTGGCCTAAAAGAACTGAGTTGCTGAGGCCGAGTCAAAGCCTATGGCATGGACTTTGAGATATTTGCTGCAGTAACCAGGGCTGTGTTTTATCAGCAGAAGTGAGGCTTATTTCCTGTTACCTGGCTACATGAAAGTGAATGTGGGACAAGTAATCCCTCTAAGAGACTGTACTGTACCCTGACTTCCTGCCACAGAGCTACCATCTGGGCATGTCCCCGGTCACAATAGTCTATTTATAAATGATTGATAATATTTTATTTCTTACCGTGCTACTACTAAAAACTGATCTATCTGCTTGTCTGTAAGGGGGTTGTATGCTTCCCAAACTTTAGTTTCTAGATCAGCTTGGTCTCTTCCATCCTCTGCTCCTGTACACAAGGCACATAAAAAACACAGAAAATGTTACAGAGAAATATTTAGATCATGAAATAAAAGATACAATGAAAATAAAAAAAAACATTAAAAAATACTCTAGAATTCTTCTGTGTGAATTTAAAGTGATATTAAAGTCAAAAGGGTTTTCAAGTTATTCCAAATGCTGATTAAAACAATGGATGTTGCTCCTTGATGTTTAAAAGTTTAAGCTTCCTGCTAAATCAGCTGGTCCCCTGAGCACTGGCCCTGATTTAGGGTGGCTACTTTTCCTTGAGGGGTCCTATGGAGTCACCCTTGTGTATGCTAGTAAACTGTGTGTCTCCACAAACACACAGACACAGCAAGGCAATCCACTGCCCTCCTCCCTCATAACTCTTCCCTTCTCCAAGCTAGTAGATGGACAGCTGCACTTTCCCTTGTGATCTGGTAGTCGACAAAGTTTAGGGAGGGTTGGAGCCAACTGAAACCCGCTCCAAGCTCTCCCATGGTGGATACAATCTCACATTTAGTTTACTAACTTGTATTGAGATTTTAGTCAATCAGCTTGGAGAGGTGGCTACTTTACAATACACACAAGGACCATAGGGAACAAAAGCAGCCACCCTCCAGAAGGAAGGACAGTGTCAGCATGAATTCAGAGATGATTTGAGGATCTACAGCCGAGTGATACACAAAGATACATTTGTGTTAATACTTAAAGGAGAACTATGGGGTCAGGGCTTTTCCCCATAGTTCTCCTTAGGGTAACGGGAGGACACAAACTAGCGTCCTCCCGTTACCCTAAGCTCAGTATACCGCGAGCTACAGCTCGCGGCATACTGAGGCGCCGCAGCCGGAGCGGATCCCGACGTAGATGACGGGATCCGCCCAGCTGAGTGAGTGACAGCTGGCTCTGCCTATCTAGAGGCAGAGCCAGCTGTACCCGCCCCTCCCCCGTCCATTCCGTCAGTCAGTGCTGGTGGATCGAAGCGGGGAGGGGGGAATCCAGCTCCTCCCCCTGTCACGGCAGAGAGCCGTGACAGGATCGGAAAGTGAGCGAACCTGGTATGTGTTCGCTCACCTCCCGATCTACTGAGCCGACCTGCGACAGTCTCATTGTCACAGGTCGGCTAGAACTATGAGGTGAGTGGAAATCACTCATCTCATAGTTCTCCTTTAAGGTACTTGAATGTATTTTTAAGATTTACCTCCTGAGTTTAGTGTAACTTTAAGATGTGTTCTGGAGGTCATTTTAGTACTAAATTGTTGAGGGGGGAAGTTAAATAATACGGGATTGTTTCAGTTGTTTTAGGTTAAATATTAGGGTTGGGGTCAACCTATATGTAAACCCCCAGCACATAAATTATGTTGTATGTCAATAAAACCATCTGCATTTTTTTATGTAAAAAACAAAAAAAAGTTTACAGACTATTAATTTTTCTTTTTCATTTTCAACTGCAGCTTTCAGAGTTTGTAAAAGACAGCGCAAATCATACATGTTCTGGAAGCAAAGGACGTGTACAATAAAAAGATGGTGCTACTAATTTTGTTGGTCCTGCGACAGTGTATAGCCAACATAGCCAAGTTTCGCATAGAGCAGGAAATGGATGCAAAACACCTATCAGTTTATTTTCCAATATCTGTATTCCATTAGGGTGATATCCCCTCACATCCTACCCTACAGACACGACAGGTATGTACAGTGGGAGCCGTTGCTCGTTTAATACAAGTGATCTATTCACTTGTATTAAAACCGAGCGTCGATCGAGTCCGCCCCCCCCTCTGGGGGACCCGTGACTACGGGGTAGGAGCTCACCATAGAGCCCCTAGAGCAGACGAAGACCGTTAGTTCTTCGTCTGCTGTGTGTGAACACTGAGACCGTGGCGCTGTAGTCACAGCGCCACCTGTCTCAGCGGTCACTAATTGCAGCTTCTGTCACAGAACCTGCCTGTGTCCTATGGTCCGGCGCGCCTTATGGAGCGCAAAATACGGTATATATTTCCTTTTTTTTTATTTAAAAAGTAATAATACACCTCCATTTAAGACTATCCTGTCCGCAGGGTGACAACACTGCTCTGGGATGTCACTGCAGAGAGTGAACACTGCCGTCTCCCTATTACCGTAAGGAGAAAAATAACAGTTCCGGTGTGCTCCAAAAAAACAAAAAACATTTATGTTACTGCGAGTAACATTCTGAATCATATGTCCTTTTTACATTTTGCCCATAGTAATACTTTAAGGCTAAGGATTAAACACACGCAAAGTTTTTTTTTTTACCTTCCTCTAGCAGATCTGTTACATCAGCTTGGTATCTATTGCCAACACGTATCTCTCCTTTGTCTGCCAAGAGGGTCTTCTGTTGAGGATCATACACTAAAGAGTAAAAGAAGAAATCCTGAAAGAAGAGAGATAAACCATTATCCAGAAACAATTTCTATTAAAGAACATATTTAACATATTATAAAGATATGTAGGGGACGTCTTCTCAATCTTCTTTATATCAGAATACACAAACCTTTGCACCCACGCCATATTTTGCAGTAACAATTGTGCAAATCAAAATTTGCACAAAAGATTTTTCAGGACATTAAAACAGGATTGTCTTACCTGCTTTTTTATTTGGAGTACATCACAGGACACAGAGTTCAAGAAGAACTCTGGGCACAACTATGCTTAAGCTTTGCAGTGGGTCTGTGCCCACACTGCAAGAGTTAAGTGCTTGTTTTTGTGTAGGGACAACAATACAAAAGTTATACTCACCTGAACTTTACAGCCAGCTGGCTGTTAGACCAGTCCCTGAAGCCCCTCTCCCCCTCTGCCTCCTCACGTCCAATACATTTTAAAATGTGACCTTTACCCCCCGTTGACTAGAAATCACATCAGCATACAGCTCTGTATTCTGATATGAAATAATTTTACATTTATTAGCTAAACAAACATTTTTATTTTACTTATAATTTCTTTTTTCCCCACTTCCTGGTCCACTTTGGCACAAATGATGTAATTTTGCCCAAGCATTGCACCCTTGGAAGGTAGAGCATTGCTGGGAAATCTCATCTGTAATCTCATGAGATCTCAGGGAAAGACATTTTCCTCCGCTGAGATGATGTGCATGATCACATGTCCTAGTCACATGTGCCAGAGTTCCAGGAAGTAAAAAGAAGGCTGGGGAGGGAAAGAATGTCATAACTAAACATTTCTAAAAGGTGCCTTTGTTGTTATTTTCCTCTGTAATGGATGTGATGACTCCTAGGACCGTAAACCTCTAGAGTGGAGCAGGGGAGAGGCTTCAGGGACCGGTCCAGCAAACACACAAAATATAGAGAGTTGAGAGCAATCCTCTTTGGCTGTGACAGAAATGGACAAAAGCATGCTAATATAAGGTTAGATTAGGCAAAAAGGCTGGAGGTGGCCTAGGTTACAAGATAACCTTGATTTGACTTGTGAAGAATGAGAAATACATATTTTCAAGACAGTGCTGCCAGCTCTGAGGAAGGACACTTTCTGGGCCTTCAGAGTACTTCTTGCAGGTAATCAAGGGGGGAACCTTAAGCAAATAAAGTATGAGTAGCCAAGGGGGCCCTTATGGAAGGAATAGGGTAAGCAACCATGAGCTTATAGCCTAAGGGAATACAGAAGACGTAGAGGCTTCGGAGCTGGCCAATGAAGGTAAGAGGACAAACAAATAATGCAATTCTCAGTGCATTCTCAGGTGGCATTTAAAACGGCAGTGAAATACCTCTAAAATCTGACTGTACTACAAAATACAAATTGTGCAATTTTTACATTCTGGGTAAAAAAATAAATGAAAAAAATAAAATAAAATGTAAATACCTCTCTTTCCAAGTAAGATTTTAAGGATTCGGTTTCATTTAAGAGTGTAACACTGCATTTGCCCCTGAAAGTGAGAAAAAACAACAGTAAAAAAAAAAAAAAACCAAGAAGAGCACACAGAAAAAGTAAAACACAGTATTACAACCGTCAGTAATACTTTTTATACTAATATGTAATAAGGTTGGTTTGTCTTGGGGCTAGTTCACACCATCCCCAGTGCATTCAGATTTGGGCCGTAACGCACTGAGGTTGGTGTAAAAATTTGCCCCCCCCAACAGGGGTGTGAAGTCACCCAACGCCGTGCACTTGCGGCGTCATGTGATGTCATGTGCCCCGCCTCCAGGATGTGTTTTTTAAAATGTATTTATTTTTACTGTTGGGGGGGGGGCTTTGGGGAAATATTAGGGGTCTAAACAGCCCCCTGATATTTCCCTTTTAAAATGGAAAAAGAAATTGAGGACACAGAGTCCTTAATCTCTTTTTCTGCAGCCTCTGTTCTAAATAAATGGAAAGTGCAGAGGCTTCCAAATCATTCAAAAAATATTTACTATCAACCAGTTTCTGAATATGGAGAAGCCTCTGTATTGAGTGCTACTACCCATTCAGAAACTCATGAATGAACAGGAAGTGATGTAAAGCACTACCTGATCATTCGTAACTGGGAACGCATTGTAAATAACTGGGGACACCGAGTACTAATCAGCTGATCACTCCAGTGTTTGTGCTGCACACAGAGGATCGGTAAATATCACAGATATTAACTGATCCTCCGCTCTCTCCCTCCGCTAGAGGGATCTTTTACTTTAGGATAGCTCCTTATTTTGTGAGTTGAAATGGCTGCTAGTGGCCATTTCAAATTGCAAATTGAGAGTTACTATTTACTGTATATGTAAACACAAATCAAAATGTTATAATAATCCTATAATAATATAGACCTGCAGGCTAATTACAAGTGATCTCAATGGCATCGTTGAGATCACTTGTACAAAACGAGCGTAAAAATAAAATAAAAAAGTAAACTACCCGCCCGGCTCCCGAAACTGCATGTCCCGAGTGTCGAGCGATGGGAATTCCACACCCCTGCTGCCCATCTACTCCCTGCTGCCCTGAGACCGGGCCTCAGTGGCCTTGTGGGAAATCTGGCCCTGGTCACGCTGTATAATTAAGACACCAATGTAATCAATTTTGCATTGCAGCTCACCTGCCTGTACACTGGACAACATATCAAAGTGTAGCCACAAGAGTGTGTCGTTTCTTTTCCATTGCCAAAAATACAAACAGGAACCCATGAGAAAGTGATTAGTAAGCATGTCTGATTGGGGGGTTGAGGATGACTTACCGTATATGGGTAGCTGGTAAAGATTCAAGCTGCCTAGATAAAAACAGCTCTCTGTGTCTTAATTGATGCTTTAATTTTTCAGGTAAATCCACCATCTCTGGATTTTCCATTTCTTCCTCCATTTCTCCTAAAAAATAAAAAAAATAGTTAAGCATAAAGAAATCAATTTCTCTCCCCAAGCCACCTTTTGAAAGTTATCTGCACCATGGCAGTTTCTATATATGGTTTCTGTATTGTATTTTTCCAGGTTTGGTATAGGCTGGCTGAAAATATAGAGAAAACATTTTAGGCAAATTATATATATATATATATATATTACAGTTCGCTGGGGCTGGGTCCTGGAAGGACGCTATATTTCCCCTCTGTTTGGGTTGTGGTCCCTTTAAAAGGGACAAAACAGAGTTAACTCACCTGCTGGTGGAAGTGTGTTTAAAAAGACAGGAAGTGGTAGATTGCAGGTAAGTAGTAGTGAGGAGTAGTGTAGGGGAGGCTGGATAGTGTGGATTTATGTACTGCTGTGAAACTGCATGTCCGTATCCTTGCTGGAAGCCTGTGGACTGGAAAAGTTACCCTGAAAGTCTGGGACTGTAACTGCAATTGCAGCTCTGACACCTTCAAGTTGGCAAGACTGTTATTTTCTGCCATACTGAAGAATCGCTGTTTAAGTCTTCCAGCTGGTCAGTGAAGATGAACTGTTGCGTTATTTTGCTGCTGTGAAGCTAAGTTAATAAAACATTACTTTATTTGCAAAGCCTGTGTCCTGCAAAAAAAATATCTAAATTTGCTTCAGCAGGACTCTGGGGATCACTAAGTAAAGGTTTGTTTTATAACCAAGTTATTTTAGAATGTTTGACTTCACTACAGATTTACTTTTATGTAAAAGAGAACTATGGTCAAACCTTTTTTTGGGTATTAGTTCTCTTTTGGGTCACAGGAGGACATTTTTGAACGTCCTCCTGTGACCCAAAACTCAGCATATAGCGGGCTATTGCTCGCTATATGCCGACAGCTCAAAACTGTGCAAACCTGGGAAGGATCCCAATAATATTGTCGAGCTTCACCCCGCCACCTGATTGAAATTTGTGACTGCTGCTCCCCTGTCTGTCCCTCCTTTTAGCGCTAGAGTTACAGAGAGGAGAGGGGGAATCCCTGTGGGGAGCGGTAACGGACAGCCACCACCCTCTGCATGGTGAAGATCGGGAACTGAGTGATCAGGAGTTTGTGATTGCTCAGTTCCCAATCTATAGAGCTGATGTGACAGCTGCAGGGTCACACGTCGGTGCCAACTATGGAGAGGAGTGCATTTCACTCTCCCCATAACTCTCCATTAACAAAATTGAAACTGACTTTCTGAAGGGCCCCATTGAGCTCTAATCAACGTATGTTCGATTACAGCTCATTACATCAATGTAATGACTGAAGCATGGCATGTGTATAAGAAAGGCTTTTTAACTTAAACTGACAATTGCAGGTATATGAGTGGACGTTATTTGTCACAGATACCAAAGGGGTGGGGGACTTCAGTATGGCTGGAGGTGGGGATTATTGGCCTTCAACTACCCTCCAGTCTCCTGGTAAGTTGCCACCTTTCCCATACTTTTATGGCATGCCTAGCAGATTTTATACTGTCAGCCGTTAAATGATATCCATTTTATGTGCTCTTGTGCCTTTGGCTAGTTGAATGGCGACTGGAAGCTTATGGTAAGGACAGGCATTTAGACATAGTACAGTGCTCTCAGTTTGTCTATGACTGGCACAAGTTTTTGCTCAAAATGATAAAATAAGGATGAGGCCTTGTTTGATAGCTCGGTTATGCTATCACTATGCCCATCAGCAGTCATAAAATCTCCCTACTGGGGAGACTGAAAGGAGAATTATGTGGTGAGTGAGAAAACAAACACTCATACCCATAATTCAAGACGACCTGCGACACTGAAGCTGTCACATGTCGGCTCTTTTGATCGGAAACCCTATTGATCGCTGACTTCCCGATCCTCTCCCTGCAGAGAGTTGTCGCCGCTCCCCGCAGGGATCACCTCCCTTCCCCTCTATGTTTCTCCAGCGCTGACTGAGGAATGGACAGGGGAGGGGGCGGGCATAGCTGATCTGCCTCTAGAGAGACACGTATAACTATTTGTATCGATTTCTGTGTATTTTTTCATGAAACACTGATATTAGCACGTTTTGTTTTCTGAGCGCAACACTTAAATTTGTTTTACGTTTCAATTGAGAGTGTGTAATTTAAATTTTTAGTGCCAGCTGCTTGATAGTACAAGTTTTTTTTACATAGCGTGGTACATTTCCATAAATCACCTCCTATTACTTCTTTATGTTAATGGAGAGACTGTCAATTTTTCACCAGACATCCAGATTCTCCACTTCCTGCCTGTACATGGCTTCATCACAATAAATGACACGTCCCACTACTGCCACATCTGCAATCTTCACAATATGATTGCTTTTCGCTGAGTAACTATAGGTCAGCAATGTTTACAGTAAGGGGCTCAAGATGCATCTCTGTGGGGAGCCTGTACTGAGGATGATGGAAGAAGATGAAATATTGTGAATTTTAAAACAGACAGAGGCAATCATTAAAAAGTCCAGGTCCCAGTTGCACAAAATTGAGCTCAATGCAAGAGACACATATCCAGGTCTTTCTAATGATTTGCCAGTTACAGTAAAAACACTTGATCAAGCGTGTTAATTCATCAGATAGCAATAGGGGCATTCTGATGAAACTTTGCTGGTGATTTTAATCATGTCAAATTGATAGACATTCTACCAATCACAGCCTCTGGGTGCCTATTTTGAATTGAGCAGATATCATTAAGCTCCTTCAGTGCATCATTAGCCTTAGAACTAATGGGAATGTGGACAACTATAATGAGCACCACTGTACACTCCTGTAGCAAATAATGTTAGATATTCTACTGCCTCACAGCAGTGACTACCACCCACTAATGTGTGCTGCCATGACATTTAAATCATTTTGTACAAAGACATGCACAGAGTAAATCAGATGCACATCCAATGGTAATCTCTCGACTTTGCAAACTGCATCACATCATCATCTTTCGGTCAAGAAACACATGTACCGTGACATTTTAAAACAATACGAAAAGGCAAACGGTCTCTACTAGACGAATGTAATTTTTTTTTACCTGACGAGGTCACGCGAGCACCAAAAATTGGATCTATGAAAAGGTTTTCAAGTGCCAAGCACCAGTCTTGACAGGATGTACTGCCCTCTTACCTTCACCAAAAAAACAGAAACTTGTGTGCCAGTAACTGAGCTAGATACACTCATGTACCCACTTCTCAAGTGAAGGAAGCCTGAAGGTGCCCATACACTGGCGAATTTCGGACAGTTTTTAATGTACCAGCTGAAATTCGGCCAGTGAATGGGGCTGTAGGCTCCCTTTCAGCTGTCAATCCACGATCAGCTGATCTTCATACAATCAGAGCTGGCAGCCAATGAGCTGCCCACTCTGATCGGTATTCTGACATGTTGTGGCGGCACCTGTCAGAACACAATGCAATCAGCGACGATTCCTCGATCGACGCGCTGTTTGTGTTGGTGGAAGAATCGCGTCAATGTCTTATGTTCAGCCCGCGGGTTGAAAGAAAGAAATTGAAAAGGTGCATGGCCAACCTTAGAGTGAGAAATTCACAGGAAAAGCTGCAATTTGTAATAACACACTGTGCCCATTCAGCAGTTCTCTGCATCTACCTTTATTAAAATTTCCCCCAGTGTATGAGCATTCAATTTTGAAAATCCTACTGCAATACTTATTCTCTAGAAGTCTTATTCTGTAAAGCTGAAGAATATGTAACAATAATGATGCATACCTACACAAAACTGAAAGATTAATTTTCTCTTAACAGTACCCTGGGAGCAACAACCATAACATGCAACCTGTAAATGGAATTCTAGTTTACTTACTTGCATGCTTGTCTGCTAAAGAAATAAGAGTGCTGGATATATCTCTCCTCCTGTAGAAACAGACGACCTTTGCTTCCACATTCCCATTTGCAGTCTATCAATTAGAAAAACACAAAACACAGAAAATGTTAAATGCCACCTTCATTTAAATTGAATGCATTAACATATACATGGCTTGCCATTTTCTCATTCTGCCGTGCTACACATACACACTGCCAGAGGCAAGTGTTAAAGTATATCCAAACCCCAAAACAAATAAAAAAGACATATTGCAGCTCATCAGTCCTTAGCTGTAGTGACTGCATTATAGTCCAAATTAGGAGCACAGCCTAAGGTTACAATGCTGCTCTCTCCACAGATACAATAAAGTGGACATTGTCACCCTAGGATAGGAAGTGTATTAGTGCAGGTGTACCAGGTAAAAATATAGAAACAAAAACACTGAAAATAAATAATGGTGATAACATTAGCTCTGTCTACAAAGAAACCCGGGAGCTATAGCAGTCACTGTGCCTTGCCTTGTGACCACCGCCGCTGAAAATAGAATTTACAGAAGATCTAAAATTTTGGGGTCACCAGAACAGGAATATACAGTCCTAGCCAAAAGTTTTGAGAATGACACAAATATTAATTTTCACAAAATCTGCTGCTTCAGTGTTTTAAGATCTTCTTGTCAGATTTTACTCTGGTCTACTGAAGTATAATTACAAGCATTTCATACGTGTCGAAGGCATTCATATACAATTACATAAAGTTTATGCAAAGAATCAATATTTGCAGTGTTGACCCTTCTTGACCCTGGCATGCTGTCAATCAACTTCTGGGCCACATCCTGACTGACGGCAGCCCATTCTTGCATATTCAATGCTTGGAGTTTGTAAGAATTTGTGGGGTGAGTTTTTGTTCTCCCGCCTTTTGAGGATTGACCACAAGTTCTCAATGGGATTAAGGTCTGGGGAGTTTCCTTGCCATGGACCCAAAAGTTCGATGCTTTGTTCCCCAAGCCATTTAGTTATCACGTTTCCCTTTTGGCAAGGTGCTCCATCAGGCTGGAAAAGGCATTGTACGTCACCAAACTGTTCTTGAATGGTTGGGAGATGTTGCTCTTGGAGGATGTTTTTGTACCCTGCTTTATTCATGGCAGTGTTCTTAGGCAAAATTGTGGGTGAGCCCACTCCCTTGGCTAAGAAGCAACCCCTCACATGAATGGTCTCAGGATGCCTTACTGTTGGCATGATACAGGACTGGTGGTAGCTCTCACCTTTTCTTCTTCGGATGCCCCAAACAATCATAAAGAGGATTCATCAAAGAAAATTACTTTACCCCAGTCCTCAGCAGTCTAATCCCTGTACCTTTTGCAGAATATGTCTGTCCCTGATGTTTTCCTTGGAGATAAGTGGCTTCTTTGCTGCCCTTCTTGACACCAGGCCATCCTCCAAAAGTCTTCTCCTCACTGTGCGTGCAGATGAACTCACACCTGCCTGCTGCCATTCCTGAGCAAGCTCTGCACTGGTGGTGCCCTGATCCCGCAGCTGAATCAATTTTAGGAGACTGTCTGGCGCTTGCTGGACTTTCTTGGGCGCCCTAAAGCCTTCTTCACAACAACTGAACCTCTCTCCTTGAAGTTCTTGATGATCCGATAAATGGTTGATTTAGTTGCAATCTTAGCAGCAATATCCTTGCGTGTGAATCCCTTTTTGTGGAAAGCAATGAAGACTGCACGTGTTTCCTTGCAGGTAACCATGGTTCACAGGAGGAACAATGATTTCAAGCACCACCCTCCTTTTAAAAGCTTCCAACAATCTGGTATTCTAACTCAAATCAGCATGACAGAGTGGTCTGCAGCCTTGTCCTCGCTAAGGCCGGGTTCACACCTGAGCGTATGTTTTCACGTTTTTTCGTTCAGTGAAACGCGCGTTTCACTGGCGGTATTATTTTTTCCCCCCTTATTTTCTCTATTTTTGAAAAAAAATATGTTTTTTTCACTTTCAAACTTCCCGCCGGCTCCGCCCCCCCTGCGACGCGGCCGCTCGCAGGGGACGGAACCCGAAGTCGGCTGCCGCCGGAGGACACAGCGGGGATCGCGGACGAGGTAAGACCTGTACGCTGTATTCCTGAGTGTGGCTCGGGGTTACCGCTTTGTTAACCCCGATCCACACTCGGGAATACCAATGGAAACGTGTGGAAAAACGCCCCAAAGAAGCTCCTGTACTTCTTTGGGCGTAGGGAGTTTTTCAGCGTGTTCCTACACGCTGAAATACGCCCAGGTGGGAGCCATGCCCATGGGAAAGTATGGGATTTCACTTGCTGGGCGTTTTACAGCACGTCGATCAGCGCTGTAAAACGCCCAGGTGTGAACCAGGCCTTACACTCACTGACACCTGCGTTAACGAGACAATCACTGGTATGATGTCAGCTGCGCCTTTTGTGGCAGGGCTGAAATGCAGTGGAAATGTTTTTTGGAAATTAAGTTCATTTTCATGGCAAAGAGGGACTTTGTAATTAATTGCAATTAATCTGATCACTCTTCATAACATTCTGGAGTATATGCAAATTGCCATCATACAAACTGAAGCAGCAGACTTTGTGAAAATTAATATTTGTGCCATTTTTAAAACTTTTGGCCACGACTGTAGGGGAAATCTCCCATCTGGGGAAACTTTTTCAGGGACAGCTGTCTAAGACGGTATTTTAACTCGTTCAACAAATTCTTTTGAATGTACAAGACAAGGAGTAGAAATAGTGTGGCTCGGGGTTACCGCTTTGTTAACCCCGATCCACACTCGGGAATACCAATGGAAACGTGTGGAAAAACGCCCCAAAGAAGCTCCTGTACTTCTTTGGGCGTAGGGAGTTTTTCAGCGTGTTCCTACACGCTGAAATACGCCCAGGTGGGAGCCATGCCCATGGGAAAGTATGGGATTTCACTTGCTGGGCGTTTTACAGCACGTCGATCAGCGCTGTAAAACGCCCAGGTGTGAACCAGGCCTTACACTCACTGACACCTGCGTTAACGAGACAATCACTGGTATGATGTCAGCTGCGCCTTTTGTGGCAGGGCTGAAATGCAGTGGAAATGTTTTTTGGAAATTAAGTTCATTTTCATGGCAAAGAGGGACTTTGTAATTAATTGCAATTAATCTGATCACTCTTCATAACATTCTGGAGTATATGCAAATTGCCATCATACAAACTGAAGCAGCAGACTTTGTGAAAATTAATATTTGTGCCATTTTTAAAACTTTTGGCCACGACTGTAGGGGAAATCTCCCATCTGGGGAAACTTTTTCAGGGACAGCTGTCTAAGACGGTATTTTAACTCGTTCAACAAATTCTTTTGAATGTACAAGACAAGGAGTAGAAATAAACTGTCAAAAGGGATACACATAGGGAAAACTTGGAGTTTTAACATTCCCTATTCTATACAAATGAAAAAACTTTTGGTTATACTTTAACTCTTTCACTGCTCCCATTTTTCCACACGTTAAAAAATGCACATTTTAGACCTGAAGATTTCTGGAAACTCTCCAAAACATTGTTTTCTGAAAGCAAAGCAGTTGAAACCTTTATTAGCGCACTTATCAAATCCATATTTTCAGTAAAAAAGTAACATTTAAATTAATTTTAGTGCACACATAATATGCGTACAATAGAATACCCAATTTCTGGTGAAATATACAAAGTGCTAGCTTATGTAAAGTAAATAGATTGCAAATATTTCAAGCTTACAAAATTGCACACACACCTGTGAAATGACAAAAAACTACAGTACACAAAAGTGTCCATAGGCAACACTATAAAAGCGTTTACAGTTCAATAGTTTAGAATTAACAGTGAATGATTGCTCTCACTTCGGCGTGCATAGCAATACCCACCATGTGAGTGACGTAATCGTCACTCAATGTGCACATACGTGGGGGCAGAGGGGCTTTTAGCATTTTTTTAATGGCTTGTTTTTTAAACTTTTATTTCTTTTTAACAACTTGATTTCTGTATCAAGGGGGCTCATAAGTCCACTATGTGGCAGCATAGTGCAGGTGACAGGTTCTTTTTAAGGAGACATCAGGGGTCTATTAGTGCTCGACTGTCACATTGCTTTGTTGAAGCTGACTGAGCAAAGATCAAGCTTGATCGGCTTCTCCTAAGCCCAGGGAGTTAAAGCAATGAACTCAGAAGAGATCAGAGCTGATCGCTTCCAGTGTCATTCATCACAGTGAGATCAGTGAACAGATGTTTGCTGCTCTCCTGCTGCTCTCTATCCTGACACCTGCCATTATGGTCCCAGGCAGCCAAGAGGAACATGTGAGCCCAGGACACTTGGCAGGGGTCAGGGGAACATTCAACAGCATGTGGAAGTCATCGCTCTACAAAACAGACATCAAAAAGTAAAAATGTAAACAAACTCGTTGTGTACATGTCAACGCTGATACAGATATACGCCATTGGTACAAAAAGAGTTAAAGTCAAGTTAACTGGTGCATACTGAGGTTGCTAAATTTAGTCTGGGAATCGAGACGCAAGGGCACTTTCATGTATGCATGCGAGATAGGGACCTGAGGGCAGGGACACATGTAAATGAACAGCATGTTAAAAGGATAAGTTTACCTTTTGCAAACATTAAAGAAATGCATAATATTTAAAAAAAATATGCATTTCTTTAATCTTTGCATTCAAGCCTGGAAAGCATTGCAATGGTGATCACTTGCACTCAACTGCAAAGCTCAAGCTTCTGCACATTCTCTCCCAGGCAGAGCTCGTACTGGAGTACGGAGTTTGTTAGGAGAGATGGAGGGGGGCACGGCTGGACTTCAAACAGCATTAAATCACCTCACGTGGCATCCAGCCGTCCTCCCGATAGGTAGAGCTGCACATATTCCCGCATCTACCTAAAGCGATATATAAAATATATAATCACCAATGTCTCCAATATAAAATCTCCAACATTTTCTCTCTTTTAAATATAAAAGATGAAAATCTAGTGAGGTATTAGGGGCCTGTCCATACCACATCAACTGAGCAGTGTTGATCTTTACAGATTAATGCAGGCTCAACACCAGAGCATAGAGAAACAAATTGTTTTCTTTGTGACCTTTT